GCCCCTGCTGGAGTAAGGGGGTGGGGTGGGGGACGACAGACCAGGACACGGGACTGATGGGCCCAGAATCTAAGGCGTGGTGACAGGCCCAGCTCTTTCTCTTATTTCTTGAGGCTGTTTTGGAACTCTTTCCAGAGGCTGGGTCACTGGCGTTTGTCACCACATCCAAACCCCTTTAAGCTGTGTGGACTACGGGCAAAGCCATTCATCTCGTCAACCTTGTGTTCTGTCACTAGAAGAAGAGTTCCCTCTCTGCTGTTCTGGGGATTAAGTAAAATCATGCTTAGCACAGAGGCTGACATAGTCCATCCACCCATCTCAACCTTCAGCCTGACTGTTCTCTCCCCCTCTAAGCAGCCTCCCTCGGTGCCAATCCTCTGAATTGCTGCAAATCCTCTCACCTGCGTCTGTATTTCTAGGTACTCCCACAGTCCAGTATCTTTTTACACTGGCATCTCTCTGATTGGTTATCTCCACTGCAATTGTTTGTCCAGAAGCACAAAAGCCAAGCAACACCAGACTCCATCTCGTTACGACAGATTCAGTCTCCATGTCACCAGAGCTCAGTGTCTATCCTATCCTGGACTCTCCATGCAGGAACAGCTAAACAGCCCTCCAGGCAGGGTGGGATCCTACCCTCTTAACAGCACCTTGGTGTCACCCCTCCCTGCACCTCTTAAGGAGCTAGCTTGTCTCACTCTTAGGCTTGAAAGCCATTTTACAGTAAAGACAAAGTAGACTCAATCTTGTTTAGGACTAAACCTTTCTCAAGGATTGGGCTGTGCCCCACGTGGAACCTTACTACACATGGTTCTGTACTGCCTGTTCCAGGAAATGGCAACCATGCCTTTGTTCTCAAAAGTAATTGTAACCACCTTACAACCCTACCTTGTTACAATCACCATGCAGTCTTGTCTTTGTTCAGGAAGGTCGTCAAGACTAACTCGTCATGCTTATGTTCGGCTCCTGTAACCCCAAAGACTATTTTTTTTTTTTTTTTTTTTTTTGGTTTTTCGAGACAGGGTTTCTCTGTGTAGCTTTGCGCCTCTCCTGGAACTCACTTGGTAGTCCAGGCTGGCCTCGAACTCACGGAGATCCGCCTGGCTCTGCCTCCCGAGTGCTGGGATTAAAGGCGTGCGCCACCACCGCCCGGCCCCCAAAGACTATTTTGACTGCCAAATCCCCCACTGGAAACCCTGAGCTATAAAAACCTTGTTTTCCTCACATCGAAGGCTGATCTCTGAACCTCGCTTTAGGGGAGGAATAAAAAAGCTTGCTCTAATTAATTCTGCCATGATGATTTGGGTCGGTGGTCTTTCTCCTCGAATCTTTGGGAGTAACACTCTCAACTTGAGTGTTATAATGCTATCCTTCCAAAGCTGGAGCCCTTTTGCAAGTGAAGGGACTCCCTTTAAAGTTTAAAGCCTTCAACTTGGCCATCTCTCCAACCTCTTTAATACCTGCCTGGATACTCGAAGAACTTGTGGGACCACAGGCAAAAATCCCGGGCACCTACTAAATTCCACCAGGACGCAAAGAGGGTTCTGGGAGACCCCGAGGGCTTACAAGAGCCCTAAGAAGCCCAGGACCACGAGGCTCTTAAGGAATAATTATGAAATATGAAACTCTCCCAATGAAACCCATTAAATTTGGGGGGATCAAATGGGCCCTGAGGATCATGGGAACTCAGAGGACATTCAAAGGGGCCGGGGATCACGGGGGCAACATGTATTCAGATGGGGCAGGCAGTCACAAGAAGTTCTGAGTGAACTTGGGGTTCTGGGCGTTCCGTGCGCCTCCAAAGTGCCAGGGGCCCCAAGGAACCACGGTCGAGCAAGGTGAGATGCCTGCCGAGGACCACCCGTCCCTGTGCGGAAACACCACAGCGGCACGCAGGGCCGTACACGAGAACCACCAGCATCACCGGAGAAACTCCAGGGCCCGTCACTAACCCTGGGTTCAAACCCGCGGGAATCACGCGAGCGCAGAGGGCGGGGTTTCCGAGAATGCCGCAATGGATGACGGGAGCCCGCGCGCCAAATGCGCCGGTAGGTCTGAGCAAGGGAGCAGCCGGCCGCCGCCAGGCAAGCTCTTACCAGTGCGCATGCGTGGCTCTCCGGCACCGGTCCGTACTCCAGTGTCGTGAAAATCTCGCGGGCGCAGGGTCGTACACGCGTTGCCGCCATCGCTCGCCGAACGCTTTCCCTGAAGGACTGCCGGACGACCTGCCCTGGGGAACGTGGAAGTCCCAAGGGCGGCACCGCCCACTCCAAAGGGGCGGGGCCAACAGGAATAGGGCGTGGCGGCGAGCTCGAGGCGTGTCCCGCCCACTTTAGAGCCACGCCTTGCCCCCTATGGGCGGACGCTGGGAAATGTAGTTTCGTGGATAACAGAGCTAGGGGGCAGTCTCCGCGCTAGCGAAAGGGCTCTGACTTTGGTAGGACAGCATATTGTCATTTTGACTCTTTAGAAAAAAAAATTGTTTTGTTGAGACAGGGTCTCACTATGTAGCTCTGGCTGTCCTGGAACTCATAGACCCGGCTGGCTTAAACTCAAAAAGATCTGCCTAACTCTGTCTCCGGAGTGCTGGGATTTAATCCACACCCGGCAGAAAAACAATGTTGTTGATGTTTTCCTACCTAAAATATTGGGGGTGGAGGTAGTGCAGCTTTTAGTCCAAAACTCCGTTAGGGAACAGACTGGCACTAGATCGTTCAAAAACAAGTTAATTGTTTTGTTCTTAGAGACAGGTTTCCCTATGTAGCCTGGGTGTCCTTGAAAGGACCGGGTGGTGGTGGCACACGCCTTCAATCCCAGAACATGGGAGACAGAGACTGGCAGATCCCTGAGTTCAAGGTCAGCCTGGTCTACAGAGCGAGTTCCAGGACAGCCAAGGCTGTCTCAAAAAACCAAAACAGAAAGGACTGGACCAGAGCATAAGACCAAGTTCTCAGCACAAAGGAGATTTATTTTCCCTCGGGGGAGCAGGGCATGGGGGGACGGGACAGAGACGGGGGATCAGAGACAAGGGAGATGGGAGGAAAGGGGCAAGGGAGAGGGAGGGGAAAGGATATTTGTTCTGGAGGACAAAGGCCTGCGTTTGGATAAAGTCCATAGGCAAATGGCAGTTATAAAGGGAAAAAAAGGAACCCCTGTGTTAGGATGATTGGTTTGCTTTGATTGGCCATGTTAATTAGGGCATTGCTGGACAGCTTAGCCCAGGAGGAGGAAGTGGCCAAACGAGGGAATAGACCTTGGTGACTAACTTTAGGGATATAATCTATGGTCTAGCAAGGGAGAGGGAAGGAGGAAGGGCAAGGCCTGCTAGAGCCTCTTCACTCCTAGAATTTGGTCTCTAGACTAGGCTGGCCTCGAACTTAGAAATCCACCTCCCGCCGGGAGGCAGAGCCAGGCGGATCTCTGTTAGTTCGAGGCCAGCCTGGTCTACAGAGTGAGTTCCAGGACAGGCACCAAAGCTACACAGAGAAACCCTGTTTCGAAAATAAAAAAAAAAAAAAAGAAAGAAAGAAAGAAATCCACCTCCCAAGTGCTGGGTTTAAAGGCGTATGCCGCTACCACCCAGGTAAAAATATTTATCTTCCTTGTACTTGTTTGGGTTTTTCCGCGTGTGTCTGCGCACCACATGCACACAGTGCCTATGGAGGCCGGAAGATGGTGCTGGAGCCACTAGAGCTGGAGTTACAGGCAGTTGTTAGCAACCATGTGGGTGTTAGGAACTGAACCCAGTCCTTTCCAAAGCAACATATGTTCCTAACCGCTGAGCCATCTCTCCACCACTACTATTTTCTTTTCTTTAAAACAAGCAAAGATTTGCTTTTTTTTTTTTTTTTTAAAGATTTATTAATTTATTATGTACACAGTATTCTGCCTACATGTGTCCTTGCAGGCCAGAAGAGGGCACCAGATCTCATTACAGATGGTTATGAGCCACCCTGTGGGTGCTGGGAATTGAACTCAGGACCTTTGGAAGAGCAGTCAGTGCTCTTAACCTCTGAGCCATCTCTCCAGCCCCCAGATTTGCTTTTATGTTATGTGCATGGGTATTTTGCCTGACTGCATGTCTTGTGCATCATGTACGTGCAGTATCCCAGGAGGCCAGAAGAGGGCGTTGGGTCCCCTAGAACTGGAGTTACAAGGGATTATGAGTCTCCATGTGGGTGTTGGGAATCAAATTCTGGAAGACTAAACCGGGCGGTGGTGGCCCTGGCCTTTAATTCCAGCACTCTGGGACGCAGGAGGACCTCTGAGTTCGAGGCCAGCCTGGTCTACAGAGTGAGTTCCAGGACAGGCTCCAAAGCCACACAGAGAAACCCTGTCTCAAAAAACAAAAACAAAACAAACAAACAAAAAATTCTGGAAGACCAATCAACACTCAAACGCTGAACCATCTCTCCAGGTCCGTCCCCCAACCCCCATCTCGCCCCCATGATTTTCCGTATAAACAAAAACCTTGATTTTGTTCAAAAAGGACAGTTAATAGCATTGAAATTAAGTGTGTGTGTTGGGTGGGATCGAACCCAGAGCGTACACATAATAGACAAGAGCTACATACAGAGATATTAAATTCTCTTTTTTTTGGTTTTTCGAGACAGGGTTTCTCCGTGTAGTTTTGCGCCTTTCCTGGAACTCGCTCTGTAGACCAGGCTGGCCTCGAACTCACAGAGATCCACCTGCCTCTGTTTCCCGAGTGCTGGGACTAAAGGCGTGCGCCACCACCGCCCGGCGAGATATTAAATTCTCAAAGTGACAATCCTTTCTGCACTGTAACGCCTGCAGTTGTTAGGGAAGGGCGGAAGTGTAGGTTTTATTGATTCAGGAAGTGTGTCATTTCACGGTCCTCCTCAGCCCCTATTTTTGATTGGCTGGGTAGGAGGGCGTGACTTCAGCTTTCTAATACAAATGGTCGGCTTGGGTGCCTCCTTGGATGATAGGGCGTTGGAGTCGTCGGAAGTGTGGACATTTCAGTTCCTTGGTTACACAGAGACCGGAAGTGTGGCTTTCATTTACGCATCGGCCAAACAGGATCAATCAAGAAACCCAACAGACTCGAGGACGGTGCCTTCATCGTAATGAAACCGTAGGCCATTCCCGGCACAGATCTTAGAGTTCCGGGTAGAGTGCTGTGTGTTAAGGATCGACTGAGGCCAGCTTTAGGCTGGCTTCGTTTATCCGGGAAAAGTGCTACACGTTTTGGATGTCTAGGACTTTTTCCCAGGGCCATGGCGGACTCGAAGCTTCTGGCACCAGAGCTGAGCGACGCAGAGTCGATGGGTGATGAGACGGTGCGGTTTCAGGAGCTGCTACTGCAGGTGCGGGCTGACAGGACTTGGGGGAACCTGGGTGTTTAAGGATTTATACATTGGCGCTCAGAGACGCGACTTCAGTTCCCAGAATGCCCTACGGCAGCAAGGAGGCCTATGGGAATTGTAGTTGTTTGGCTCAAAGTTTACTAGGTTTTAAAAGACATGGAATTAGGGTGATCTTGGGAGTCCTCATAAAAAGAAAAGGGGGCCTAGACTGTGTAATATAACAAGTGAGCCAGGTGATGGTGGCACACGCCTTTAATCCCAGCACTGGGGATGCACAGACAGGCAGATGAGTTCGAGGCCAGCCTGGTCTACAGAGTGAGTTCTAGGAAAGCCAGGGCTACACAGAGAAACCCTGTCTCGAAAAACAAAAACAAAGCCACACTTGGAACGGAGAAGCAGATGGATAACAATAACAATAATATAACATTAGTAAAAACCCATGTGATCCCCAGCTATCACATATGAGCTGTCCTAATAAACGTTTGGGAAGCAGGTTAGGGGGTTTGACAGGGCAGAATTATCATGGAGGGTTGTTTTTTTTTCCCCCACAGGCTTCCAAAGAGCTCCAGCAAGCCCAGACAGACAGGCCAGAATCTACCCAGATCCAGCCCCAGCCTGGTGAGAAATAGATATAGACATAGAGGAATGGATGGATGGATGGATGGATGGATAGATAGATAGAAGATAGATAGATAGATAGATAGATAGATAGATAGATAGATAGATAGATAGATAGATGAGACCCTGAGAGAGGTCCGTGGAAACTAGGGGCAGGGACACAGAGGATGAAGGAGAGAGATCATAACTGGGTACAAAGGCCTAGAAGTAGTTATGTGAATGGACAGGCAGGAGGATCACCTACAAATACTGCACCACAGAAGGCAGAGCGGAAGTGGGGTGGAAGAAAACTTCCAGGGCCTGAGGGAAGCAGAGGCAACAAAGGGAGAGCCGAGGGTCAGCAGGACAGAGCCCAAGAGTGAAAGACGGGCCAGCAAGATGGCCGAGCAGGTGAGGCTGCGGCCAGTGAGCCTGGTGACCTGAGAGAACTGAGTCCTGAATGCTGTCCTCTGACCATGACGCACACCAGCTATGATAAGAGTGCGCGCACACACACACACACACACACACACACACACACACGCACACACACACACACTAAGTGCATGTAATAAAAATTAAAAGAGGGAAAGAAGTTGGGTGTGGTGGTGAATGCCTACAGTCTCAGGAGGCAGGAGTATCCCAAGTCTGGGGCCAGCCTGGGTATAGGGTGAGAGGCCGTGTCTGAAAGGGAGAGGGTGGGCGCAGAGGGTGGGTAAGAACGGGACGGTCTGGGCACAGATGGCCGAGATAACCCACTTGTGCAGGTTTCTGCATAAAGACCAATTCATCGGAAGGCAAGGTCTTCATCAACATCTGCCACTCGCCCTCCATCCCTCCCCCGGTGGACGTGACTGAGGATGAGCTGCTTCAGATGCTGGAGGAGGGCCAAGCTGGCTTCCGAATCCCCATGAGCCTGGGAGAGCCACATGCTGAGCTGGATGCGAGTCAGTACCCTCCGAGGACACCCAGTCTGCTCCCTCAAGACCCTGCTTTTCTCAGGAGCTTCCAGTCAGCTTCGGGAGCCAGAGGGGGTTGATCCAAGTCTGGAGGGAACATGCCCTGGGGCTCTTCACTGAGGTTAAGGAGACTTCAGAGAAGCCTACCTAGAAGAGTAGTGCTCTGATAGAAGATTTGAAGGGGGGGGAGTGCATGGGGGGTGCGCACGCCTTTCATCCCATCACTCGGGAGGCAGAGCCAGGCGGATCTCTGTGAGTTCGAGGTCAGCCTGGGCTACAGAGAGAGTTTCAGGATAGCCAGGGCTACACAGAGAAAGGCTGACTCAGAAAAGATTTGAAGCATTAGTCAGGCAAAGTCAGAGAAGAGGGTTGTAGGCAGGAGATGACCAGTGAGCTGGGCATGGTGGCTCACTCTTCTCAATAGCTCTTAGGATGCTGAGGCAGGAGAATTGCTGAAAGCTAGAGGCCAGCCTGAGCTACCCGGACCAGGGCCAGAGTCTGGGGGGTACAGTGATTGGATTGATGGGCCAACAATCAGGAGAGACTGGAAGTGTGGACAGCCGGTGTTCTCTAGAGTATAAATGAGCATTTTCCTAGGGGTGGGTGGGATAGAGTGAGGTGATTCTTGGGGTCCCTGGGGAGTATCAGGGTCTGTCTTGGGGATGTGGGCATCAACCTGGAGTTGAGCCTGGAAGCCAAGAAGGACCTGGTCTGAGTCAGCTGGAAAGTAAAATGTATGCTGGCTCTCACTTCCTGTGTCTGGTCCTTGGGTAAGTTTTCCTTATGGGTGTTACATGGAGGGTTAAAAGGCCTCATTCCCTCTTTCCACAGAAGGCCAGGGCTGCACTGCTTATGATGTCGCCGTCAATAGCAACTTCTACCTGAGGATGCAGGTGGGATGTGTGTTATGGATAAGGCCCGGGGAGGGTGCTTCCTCCAGCCCCGACCCCACCATTGCATCTCTTCTCACCTTAGAACAGCGATTTCTTGAGGGAGCTGGTGGTCACCATCGCCAGGGAGGGCCTTGAGGACAAGTATGGTTTACAGCTAAATCCAGGTGAGGGTCAGGAGGGGAATGGCTGGGATGGCACACTTGGGAGAGGGGATTCCAGTGGGCCAGGAGGGGGTGGAGCTTCTCAGAGTGAGGGTGGGGTTGTGAGGGGGCAGGGCCAGGAGCCTGGCGGGAGTGGGGTGTGGTGGTGGTGGTGGTGGTAGTGATGGTCGTGGGGGTGTCTTAGTGCATTCCCCGGGAAGGGTGGAGGCTAAGGTGGGCAGGGCCTCTAAGAGTCAAGATTGCAGTGGTCAGAGCGGAAGGTGTCTGGGAAGGCGGCCCAGCCTCTGTGGACTGGGAAGCACCACTTGAGGGGACCCCACCTCAGCGATCTGTGACTCTCCAACCCTCAGAATGGCGCGTGTTGAAGTACCGGCCTTTCCTGGGGTCCATCTCGCAGCAGAACATCCGTTCCCGGCAGCGTCCTCGGATCCAGGAGCTGGGGACCCCGCAGGGGTGAGCCTTCATACATATCTGGGCTAATGACTATCCTGGGACTCTAGGGACTTAGATGGAGCTGAGACACAGAACTGGGTGGAGGGAGAAAGGAACAGCAAGCCAAGTAGAGGGTGCTGGGCTGTCACAGACCAGGTGGTCACCTTCAGTCTGCCCTTGTTCCCATACAGCCCGGAGCGGCCTCACATGAACCTTTGGTTGGAAGCCCCCGACCTCCTCTTGGCTGAAATTGACCTCCCCAAGCTGGTGAGTGCAGGGAAAGGAGCTAGAGTCTGGACACCCTGGGGCTAAGGCAGGAGGTTTAGGAGCCAAACCCCGGATCTGAAGGAGGAGGCTGGAGCCTGGATTCCTTGGCCTGGGTTATATCTCTGGAAGCAGTGATGTGGGGGCTATCCCCAGACTTGCGTAAGTTGCCTCTCCTGGCCCAGAAAACCAACAGGTGCAGCCATTGCTGTCCTGAGTTTGAGTTCCTCGGGACTCATAGTCACTGTCCTTTGATTTTGTCTGCATTGATTCGGTTCTGAGGTTGAAAGCACAGCCATGCATGCTATGACCTTGTGGACATAGCTTCCCAGTGCTAGGGGATGTGGGCTGACTGACCTCATCCCCAGGATGGAGCTCGAGGGCTGACGCTGGAGATAGGGGAGAATCACCTGGTGATGGGAAGCCTCCAGCAACTGTACCACCTCAACGCCTCCATCCCCCTGCGGATCAACCCTGAGGCCAGCAGGGCTGCTTTCCACCACAGAAGAAAGGTACCTGATATAGGCATCTGTGGGAAGAGGCTGAGACCTGAAGGCCTGGGCTGGAGGGAAGAGCTGGGGTTTAGAGCCCTGGTTCTGAATCCTCATTCTCTTTCTTTTCCCAGCAACTGATGGTGTCCATGCCCCTCCTGTCAGTGTCTTAACCAGAATCCCCCTGTATTTCCAGATGTGGAGAAGATGTTGTCTTCTCTCAATGTGAAATAAACAGTTTTTCCAGTTCTTTCCAGCTTCAGAAGTCAAGACATGGCGGGTAGGAGGGAAGAGGACCATCAGTTCTGACCCGTGTCCGCTAGAAGTCTCTGTTCCTTTCTGGAGGCCCTGGCCTCCTGTCTTCACTGGCCGCCCTGGGCCCCAGGGCTGACCCTCCTCCTTTCCTAGTCCACTTCTTCATTGTCCCCGGAACATCCGGGCATCTAGACTCAGCTCTGACCCCTTCCTTCTTAGACACAACTCTTCCCTCACTGATGCCCAGCCATCTCACAGAGCGGTGTCCCGCCATGCCACTGACTCCTGCTCTCCTAGCTCTGGCGCCCTCTTCTCCAGAATGGCGTGTGGGGAATTACTAAATGGCCATCCCTGGCGCAGCGGGTGCTCTCGTGGGGCGGGGGCTTTCACTGCCTGACCTCTTAGCAACCAAACTCCAGCAGCGCCTAGGGTCTCCTGCGCTCCATGAACCACGTCCGTTCCTGTCACGGGCATGCCCAAGTCTAGGTCCTGAGCCCCCAAGCTTCACTTCCTCCTGACTCAGCCTGTGCTGTTCCCTCTTTGGGGCACTCCCACTCTACTCCCCAATATCCTTTCCCCATTTTTGGTACCGAGGATGTAACTCAGGGCCTCTGATGCCAAGCACATACTGGCAGTCAATGGTGGTGCACACCCTTAACCCCAGCACTCAGGAGGCAGAGGCAGGGGGATCTCAGAGTTTGAGGCCAGCCTGGTCTACAGAGAAAATTCCGGAACAGCCAGGGTTCCACAGAGAAACCCTGGAAAAACGAACAATACCAGGTATATATTTCTTTTACCATTGAGTTACACCTCAGGGAACCTCTCACCCCATTTTTTTATTTTTCTTCTATTTATTTATTTATTTATTTATTATTTATTTATTTGATTTCTCAAGACAGGGTTGCTCTGTGTAGCCCTGGCTGTCCTGGAACTCACTTTTTAGACTATGATGGCTTCAAACTCACAGAGATCCGCCTGCCTCTGATCCCGAGTGTGCCACCACCGCCCAGCTTTTTTTTTTTAATTAGATAAAAAGCCTCATGTATCCCAGGCTGCTTTGAAACTTGTCATGAAGCTGAGGATGACCTTGAGTTTATGATCCTCCTGCCTCCCCTAAAGTGATGGAGTTTCGAGTTTGCACCACTGCTCTGCTTTATGTAGCAGGGGACCAAACCCATGCTTCATGCATGGCTGGGCAAGCACTCCTCCAACTGAGGTGCTTTTTCAGGACCCCCATGCTGTAATATAAATTACATTGGTAAATTATCAGATGCTGTTTGTACTTGTTGAAACCTGACCTTTTTTTTTTTTAGATTTATTTATTTTATATTTTTAAAAAAGATTTATTATGTATGTAGTGTTCTGTCTGCATGTATGCCTGCAGACCAGAAGAGGGCGCCAGATCTCATTACAGATGGCTGTGAGCCACTATGTGGGTGCTGGGAATTGAACTCAGGACCTCTGGAAGAGCAACCAGTGCTCTTAACCTCTGAGCCATCTCTCCAGCACTTTATTTTACATTTTGGAGAGTTTCGTCTGTGTATGTTGTATGTGCACTATCTGTGTGGTTGGTTCCTGTGGTGGTCAGAACCCCCTGGAACTGGAATTACAGGTGGTTGTGAGCCACGAGTATTTATATAGAGCCACCTCTCCAGTGTCAAAAGCTGACCACAACCTTGTCCCAGACCCATGCACAGTTATTTCCAATGTGCTCTGAGACTCCCCGGCCCTGCAAAGGGAGAAGAGAGAATCCAAACAGCTAAACTATTAAAACCCTTACACCTGGGCAGTCCAGAGGACTCCCTGAGTAAAGCTACTTGCCGCTGAGCATGATGACTGGAGATTCATTCCAGGAACCCACATGGTAGAGAGAACTGACTCCCAAAAGTTGTCCTTTAACCTCCATTGGTGCGCTCGCGCTCTCTCTCTCTCTCTCTCTCTCTCTCTCACACACACACACACACACACACACACAGAGATTTCAGATTTATTTGTGTTTATGAGTGGTTTATTTGCATGTACACTGTTGTACCTGCTGAATTCAAAAGAGGGCACCAGTAAGGGTGCTGGGAACTGAACCCAGGTCCTCTGCAAGAGCAACAAATGCTCTTAACTACTGAGCCTTCTCTCCCGCCCCAAATATATATGTAGTTTTTAGGGTTGGTTTTTTTTTTTAATTTTTTGGGTTTTTTGTTTTTCGAGACAGGGTTTCTCTCTGTAACATTGGCGCCTGTCCTGGATCTCACTCTGGGATTAAAAGTGTGCGCCACCGCCCGGCTTGTTTGGTTTTTCAAAACAGGATTTCTCTGTGTGGCCCTGGCTGTCCTGGAACTCAGAGATCCACCTGACTCTGCCTCCCGAGGGCTGGGATTAAAAGCATGCACCACTGTCTGGCACACACACACACACACTTTTTTTTTTTTAAATTAAAAACAAGACGGGCAGTGGTAGCACGTGCCTTTAATCCCATCCCTCAGGAGGCAGAGGCAGGGGGATTTCTGAGTTCCAGTCACTATACAGAGTGAGTTCCAGGACAGTCAGGCCTACACAGAAAACCCCTGTGTCGAAGAAAACTACAACAATAACATGGCCATACTGCTGCTGAGAAAAATTGGTAAAGTCAGAAGGTATCCTGTAGCCAAGCTTGTTGGGTATGCCTGCACGACATTCTCAGGAGGCTGAGGCAGGAGGATGACAAGTTCCACGCTAGTCTGTACAACAGCGACATCTATCCTGCCCCAGGATGCTGTCAAGCAAACTAGCGAGCCCTGCCCACGTGAGGGGGCAAGGAAGCCTCAAGCTCTAAGGCTTCTTCGCTAGGACAACCACCTCTCCTCGAAGCGGACAGCAACGTGGGGTGGTGGGGGAGAGTGGGCTAACTTTCAAGCACGCAGGTCACTGGGGCCTGTAGTCCGGACAGAGGCCATCCCTTGGCCACTGAAGGACTAGTTTCCAGGTCCTGAAAAAGCTTGAGGCTGGGTGCGTTCCTCCTTTCTCCGTCGCCATGGTGACGGTGCGGGCGACCGCCCGGGATTTGGCAGCGCCGGGGCCCCCTTCCCACCCCCTCCTCCTCACCATCTGCTCCTCCCTCACACCTGGCCGGGAGCCGCGGACGCCTCCTCCGCACGCCGTCCCGGCGCTCCGGCCGCCAGGGGGCGCGTGTGCGCGGCTCGGCCCGCCTCCCTCCTCCCCGGGGACTGGTCGGAGACAAGACGGAGATCTTCCGAGCCCGCCTGCCGCTCGATCGGCTTCTCTCGTCCCTTCCTGGGCCGCATCATGAAAATTTAATCCCAAATGCATTTGTGGCCCGACACGGGAAGAGAGACGGTGGGGAAACCAGGACCCTGCTGAGGCCTGGAGCTGGGGGCGCACCGGGAAAAGCGTTGGTCTGGTGGGCGTCAGGGTTTGAGGGCCACCGGAGAGTTGGTGTTCCCCCCAAGGGATGGAACTGGGATCTACTGGTGGGGAGAGGACTCAGTGGGTGGGGACAGATCCTGGGGCCCGAGTGGAAGCCACAGCTAGGACAGACTTAAGGGGAGGAGCCAGACCCCAGAAGGCAGAGACAGAACACAGCGTCCGCAGGAGTAGGGGGACACGTTTGCGGGGGGTGGGGGGGCGAGGGTAGAACTCAGAGGGAGGAGATAGGACCCAGCTGATGGGACCCAGACTCAAAAGAGTGTCATAGAGCCTGGAGATATTCTAGGCGAGTGCAGACGGAATCACTGGGCACCAAGGGCAGTGTTGGTGGGCCTCGTTGTAGGGAGCGGAATTCAAAGGGATGAAGGGGGAGGAAAGAGAAGGATGGGGTGCGGACAAACCCCGAGGAAAAGTAGAACCCAAGGGGAATAGTGGAATCCGAAAAGTATGGGGAAAGCCAGTCCAGCGGCACATCGTGTAACACCAGCTACACAGGAGGCCGCAGCAAGAGGGTCATAAGATCAAGGCCAGCCTGAGCTACAGAGTGAGGTGTGGGGACGTGCCTAGCACGTGTGGAGCTCTGGGTCCTATCCCTAGTGCGGCCCAAAAAATGAAAGGAGGGGCTGGAGAGAGAGCTCAGCGGCGATTCCAGAGGCCCTGGGTTCAGTTCCCAGCACCCTCGTGGACGCTCACAACTCCAGTTCCAGGGGATTCAATGCTACTTTAGGTGTGCGCGGTGCTAGGCTTACAAGTAGAGCACAGACGGACATGCTGGCAGAACGCTCACACAGAATTACATTTAAAGAACTTTTTTTTTTTTTTTTTTTTTGAGATAGGGTTTCTCTGTGTAGCCCTGGCTGTCCTGGAACTTGCTCTATAGACCAGGCTGGTCTCGAACTCAGAGATCCACTTGCCTCTGCCTACCAAGTGATGGGATGAACAGCATGCTCCACCACGCCCAGCCCTAAACAAAACAAAACAAAAAAACCCCCTAACTTTTGGTTTTGTTTTGTTTATTTTGATTTTTCTCTGTGTAACTCTGGCTGTCCTGGAACTCGCTCTGTAGACCAGGCTGGTCTCGAACTCACAGATCCGCCTGCCTCTGCCTCCCAAGTGCTGGAATTAAAGGTGTGCGCCACCATCACCCAGCTGTTTTTTGTTTCTTTGTTGTTTGAGACAGGGTTTCTGCCTCCCCAAGTCCCGGGATTAATTAAAGGCTTGCATCTCACTAGAAAAGAAAATGAGAAAGCCAAACATCAGATGGGGAAGTGAGCTCAGGAGCGCAGAGATCTGGGAAGGAGGGACCCAGGGAGCAGGGATAGTGCGGAGTTACTTGGGAACTGGATTGTAGCGGGCTTGGAGGCAACTCAGAGTTCAATTCCAAGGGCGTGGCCTTGAGATGGCCAGGTAGAGGCTCTAGGATGGGAGAGCTGAAGGAGAGAGAGGGTCAGCTTGCAAGGCAAGAGGGCAAGGCAAGAGGGACTACAGCCTACAGCCCCCAGGTAACTGGGGAAGGAGAGGGCGGGCCCTGCCTGCAAGGGGTGGGGCCTCGTTGGGTGGGCGTGATGCCCCGCCCCG